GACGCCTTAGTAGAATAGCTTCCATCCGTTGAGGTTCAGGAATCCATAACCTTGGCGTTTCGTTGACGAGAGTCCAAGAATGTCAAGTTGGTACTTTATTGCCTCATCAACTAACTCTTATTCTTTTACTCTGAGTGAGTATATGTTCGAATTTTTTACTTTAACCTCCCGCTGGTATTGTCATTCTCGTGGACGCTTTTTTGACTTGCTGTAATGGCATCGGCTGTCTGCCTCCTCCGTTCAGTAGGGGTAGCGACTCGGTTGCTGACTGGTATCTTCGTCGTCGTTCCGTCGGTCTTCGTCAGCCGTCGTTGTGCTGGTACGCCCCCGGCTGACAGAGGCCAATTATCAGGTTCTGACTGCCTACTTTTCGGAGTTTGCCTTACCCACCTCCTCCACAATAGCCTGCTCAGCCCTTGGTAACCCGGGCGACGACCGAGCCCGTATAATTTTCGATGGCGTCAGTGCCATGAGTGCATGAGTGTCAGGTGGCTAAATTTTACGGAGACTTGCCACGGTTGCCAACCCTCTTCCTTTCTCACCCGGGTTTTACACCGGCAACGGCGGAGTTGGAAACGTCTTCCTAGGATATTTACCACCTAGGTAAACATCCGTCCGATTCGTCAAGATACTAGTTAATTTTGGAGCTGTTAGACCAAAAAGTGATTGAGGTTTTTTCTGTTCTTTTGTAACGATCAATTTTTGCGCTACTTCAGTTCACACCAGTGATCACCACCATGTTTATTTTGATTCAGATAGTGTCTGTTTGGCGTAATCTCACCGATGCCATTTCATAAGTATAATGCCTAGCCTTCGTAGTATGTACATTTATCGACTAACTGTGTAGTTTCACCTTTCATCAGCTTCTTAGAGCTTCGAATCAGTCTTTCACCATCCAGTGATTATTGTCGTTTCGAATTTCTGTAGAATCATATTATTCTCTTGACATATCTGGGCGATTATCAGAGTTAAAATGCGAGACTGATGGAATTTGACGTTTTCTTGTGTACGTACAGTCATGACATGACGCCGTTTTTAAACACAGACAAGGTATAAAAATGAAGGCTATAAATGTGAAGTAACAACAGCTAAACAGTAGAGTGGCGCTGTTTTGATCAACTAGATAGCTCAGACTAATAATTCTCCAATGAGAACTAAGCAGGAAACAGAAACAAAGCGTGCTGATGGCAAGCACAACAGAGAAGAAGAAATGAAGAGAAAAAGACTAAAAAGAATAGAAGTTAGTAGATTTATTGCGGCTGAAACATATTAAGATTTGGGTGTTTGCAGTCACCAGATTCTTTAGTTAGACGCTGATACCTAGTAGCGTACAGACATAATGAACATCATGAGTAGTCCCCATGGAGAAGGTGCATGTTACGACTAAGGACTCTATAGGCCTTGCGAATGCCGTCAGAAACAGCAAGACAAGTGACATTGCATATTAAGTCATTTTGATTAGGTCATATTGTCTCGACGGCAACCGCGAAGACGGCTTCATGGCTTTTAAATCGCATGCAAAAATGACATGGAAAATAATGGCTAAAGCATAGGAGTACAGTGGTGGAATGCATGCCAATAAGTGCGTTTTAACTGCGTGAATAGCGGCGTGGAGGTCGCAAGAAGAAGAAGAAGCTCTGCAGCGTATTTCAGTTATTGATTTAACATGCTCATTCATCGTGAGATTCGAAGAAAGTGTGACTCCAATTTATTCAGTCTGTTCGGATTGACGGGTCATGCA